TCTGGTGCAATTTCATACAATGAAATTATACTGCACCCAGATTGCATGTGAATCGCACAGGAACGCATAGTGCGCTCCTAGGCGATTCATGGTGTGAACCGTCCCTAAGCCCAGGTTGGCACTTGTATATTGCAGCTTTAGCATTTCTCACATTTCTGTCCATGTATATGACTGCTCCCTGGGAATGATTCACCCATATTTGGCACATTTCCATTAGTGTGAAAATAGCCCAGGCAAATCGATTTTTCAGATAATATTCCCAATTTCATTGAAGTCTGAAACATAAGTTTGTGATAACGTAACGCATACATTACTGCAATGAACGTTATCTGCATTAGATCGCTGCAATGCCACTAATTTAGCATGGCACCTCAAGGCAATGTAGTTATGATGCAAATGTGCTGCTGGGGAACCGTGTGTATTAGTGCGCTGCTTCAGGAAAAAATGTTGTGCTTGTTTTTTGGTCTGTTTCTGTGCGATGGCAGCCAATTCTAAATGTTCTTATTTTGGCCAGCTACGTTTCCAATTCATTTCTCCACCCTGATCCCTGTGCAGTTCACCAGTAGCCATTGTCTGCTAAACTAGGCTAGGTGCAGTGTGCAGGTGACATGTACTTAAAGTAGATGTAAACCCAATCACTAAAGTTGCATATATAAGCCTTAACATGTTAATATAAATTCAAAAGTCATTTTAAATGTTTTAAAATATTTTGCTTTCATCAAAATAGTAGCTGGTGATGTTGCCATGAAGGTCCTTGTTCAGGCAATTTCTTTTATGGGAGATATGAGATAGGAAAAAGTGAAAATGAATAAAATATCAAGCAAATTGTAGGACACTCAGTGCTTGAACAAACTGCAAGTTCTTTCCTGGCACAAGTACAAAGCAAGCCAACTGCTTTTATTTTAGTTGCAGTAATAAAGTATGAAATGTACCAAAGACATAAGAAAAAAAAAAGATCAGTGACATCATGCTGTACATAGCCTGAGCAGAGCTGTGGGAGGGACCCAACAGGCCCCGCCCACTACAGGCTGCCAGCCGAAAACTACAAGAGGGGTCGGAGACAAGACCAGTCACCCTGCTTATGGAGAGAGAGCAGCAGTGACTGGTCCTTGTAAGAGGAAACTCCAGCACAGTGGCAATGCATAGGAGAAGATTAGACTTCAAAATATCTTAAACAAACAACACCTCAAGACCATGGCTCCCTACCTGTCTGGCTCTGGAAGTTTAGGCTGCTTTTGTCCCCCTCCGTGTGATGGTAGGTGATGTGAGGCACAGACAGGGCATTTTCAGGGGCTGACACCTGGGGACCCGAGGGCATCGGAGTCAGGCATAGAGGAGCCAGGGTGGGGCTGGTGGGGGTGACAAGGGCCTCGTGCAGAGATTTGGTCTTCTTCCTACTTCTTCTGTTCTGGGGGAAGAGCAAGGAATTTCAGTCACCAAACAGTACATTTGAAGTTGCATTTCTACTTATAGAAGGTCAGTGTTTGCATAGATTTAGGTCCCTCCTCCCAGACAAAAGTGGTTGCCAATTCTTTCTGAAGAAGTTAGTGTGGCATTGTGGGAAGATGGTACGGGCATGCCCGACTTAAAACTAATATACCATATAATGTATTTCCCTGGATAGGAAAACTGGCCTTGACACCACCCTAACCTTTTTATTTCAGCTTTGTCTAGAACGGAGAAGGAATCAAACGCCTGTCAGCTTTTTTGCTTTTCTGGGCTCTGCTAGAGAGATTTCCCCTCACTTCCTGCTCTGGGACAACCTTTTTACCAAACAGGAAGTGAAAAATATCGCTCCAATTGAGCCTCCAATGGCAGTAAAACCTAATAGGAGCTCTAACCTTTCTCCACTCCACTTTAAACTGTAGACTTCTGAAGGAGATAGTCTCATTTTAGAATCTGTTTACTTGCGTTACCATTTAGAAGGGCATTTAGAAGGGACTACCACTCTCCCCAATGGATTTTACAATTATTTCATATCATGGGGGCAGAAGTGGGAAACATTCAGCACCACTGAGTTGATAGCTATATACAAAAGGAGCAACTCTAGTGTTGGTGATTGAAGACTATCTGACTAGTCTTGCTGGAATCCCCGGACCTGTCTTCGTGCACCAGGACTACCCGCTGTCGGTCGCGCCGCCTTGTTACTCTGGTCTGGAGGGGTCAGGTAGATCTTCCAGGTGGCTGTAGAGTTGTAGGACTTCTCTGCAGCGTAACACCTCCAAAGGGTCTGCACGACACATAATCACACATATGTTATAGTAATTACATGCAAGGAAAATAATTTTGCCATGTTCCAGACATTTAAAGAAAAACAGCAGCTTTATAAGATAAAATATTTATTACATACAATTACAATGCAATCTGTTTAATACTTTAATGTGAACCTGCTCAGCCATTTGAAACTTTGACATTTAAAAATCCTATAAGAAGAAGGCACCGCTGGGTATCTGTTTTTTGTTAGACAGAAAACCCTTCTGTGTGTGCCTCTGTGACAATGGGTACACTCTGTCACCCTCATGGTGCTAAGGTCCATCCATACACCACCTTTCTACTGTGTTTGGCCTTGTTTTAATCTCTCTTGCCTATCATTTTCCATCCCTCTCTCACTTCCATCTCCATTTTCTTTTTCTCGCCCCTGATTTAGTCTGTCTATTATGCACTCCATCTTCTTGCTACTATTGTCTCTTCTGTTCCTTCTTTCTTTTACTCACTCACTTTATTTTTACTCCTGTCTTCCTCTTGTCTTGTCTCTATTGGTCTTTCTCTCTCTCCATCTGGTTTCTTTCTACTTCTGTTTCTCCATTGCTCTCTTATCTTCTCTCTACTGCCTCTCTCTGCTTGGTTTAGTCCTCTCACTATCATTGTCTCCCGTTTGCCTTCTCCATCTTGTCTTTTCTCTCTCTTGTCCTCTTTCTATAGCTCTCCCTCTTTCCCTTTCGTTTGTCTTTTCTCTGTTGCTCTGTCTCCCTCTTGTCTTCTATCATTCTCTTCCTCTTGTCTGCTCTTTCTCGTCTTCTCTCTGTTACTCTCTCCCTCTTGTCTTCTCTCTCTGTCTCGTCTTTTATATGTTGCTCTTTCCCTATTGGCTTCTCTCTTTTTCTCCCGTCTTCTCTCTTATCCATTTTCCTCTTCTATTGCTCTCTATAGCATTTCTTCTCTATGCCACTCTCTTTCCTGTCCTCCTCTCACTTGTCTTCTCGCTTATCTCTCTCTTTTCTTCTCTCCAATGCAGCCTTCTCTTGTTTTCTCTCTCTTTCTCACTTTCTTTCTATGTTTCTCTCTTTTATCTTTTTTCTTCCACTCACCTCTGCCTTCTCTTTCTCTCTTTCCACTGTGTTCTCTCTATAGCTCTCTTTGTATTGTCTTCTCTAACTTTCTAATTCTTCACTCTCTCTCTATCTCTGTCGTGTTTTTTTTCTCTATTGCTCTTTCTTGTTTTCTCCTTTTTCTCTTGTAATCTATCTAAAGTTCTATCTGTTGGCGCCTTCTCTTTTTTCCTCATGTCTTCTCTCTCCCTTGTGTCCTCTCTCTTTTGCTCTCTCTCTCTCCTCTTGTCTTCTGTCTTTTTCTCTTGTCCTTTCTCTTTAGCTCTCTTGTTTCCTCTCTCTCTCTCTCTCTTTCACGTCTTCTCTCTCTCTCTCTCTCTCTCTCTCTCTCTCTCTCTCTCTCATGTCATCTCTCTTTTGTTCCCTCTCTTTTATTTTATTTCTTTTATCTTCTTTCTGCATTTCTCTGTCTCTCTTCCCTTGTAACACTCTCTTTTGCTTGATCTTTCCCTCTCATGCCATCTTTCTTTCTCTTGTTTTTGCTCTGCATAGCTCTCTCCCTGCTGTCTTCTCTCTTTCTTCTCTTCATCTCGTCATCCTTCTCTTTTTCTCTCTTGTCTATTCCCTCTCACACATCTTTTCTCCCTCTGTTGATCTATATCACTTGTTTTCTCTATGTACTTTTTTCTATCTTGTCTTTTATTCTGTTGCTTCCCTTGTCATATCACTTATCAATTCAGTTCAAATAAGCTTTATTGGCTTGACCAAATACATTTTACCATTGTCAAAGAAATTGAGTTTTTATGGGTTGGATAGTGGAGAATGGGGGTGGGCGGTTTAAGGATAAGGCATAACCTAAAAGGGATATCTCTAGATTGTAAGCTCCAAGGAGCAGGGCCCTCAAATCCCTCTTGTATTGAACTGTTTTGTTACTGTATTGTCTCCCACTATAATGTAAAGCGCTGAGCAAACTGTTGGCACTATATAAATCCTGTATAATAATAATCTTTCTTTCCGTCTTTTTTTTCTTACTATCTCTCTATATAGCTCTCTTTTCTCTCCCCTGCATTCTCTTTCTCTCTCTTTTCTTCTCTCCATGTCTCACTCTCTCTCCTGTTCTTTCCACATCTCACTCTCTCTTTTGTCTTCTTTCCATGCCTCACTCTCTCTCTTTGTGTTCTCTCCATGTCTCACTCTCTCTCTTTGTCTTCTCTCCATGTCTCACTCTCTCTTTGTCTTCTCTCCATGTCTCACTCTCTCTTATCTTCTTTCCATGTCCCACTCTCTCTCTTGTCTTCTCTGCATGACTCGCTCTCACAATCGTGTTTTTTTCTCACCTATTCCATTTCTTTCACTTCTCATATATTCTTCTCTTTCCTGTCCTCAATTCTCTGCATTGCTTGCTCTAGTCTCTCCCCCAGCCCTCTTCCCTACTTTACATACAGGCACTACTAAGTCACCTCTGACCCAGCGTAGTATATAAGGTACCTGGATTAGTGATGCTGCGGCTGGGATCTGTCTGTTGAAATGTTTCTGTCGCTGTTTTTGCTGGACTTTCAGAGCAAAGCCGGAACCCAGAATACCCTAACAAATAAAAAGACAGTCAGCCCCCTGAACAAAAGTAATCCCAGTAATCATTGAGTGCCACTACAAAGGGGAATGTTGTATGCTGTAGGATGTCTATACACAGGTCCATATCCTTTTAACAGTATTTACTATTGTCAGGCACGTTCACTCTTTTGTTGTAACTATAATCCTATCTGACATTATTAAATAACTCCAAAGAGCTGTGCATATGATGCAGTTACATTTATCACACACATATAAAAACACATTACTCACAGCTGGAAGCGCAAAGAAGGAAATGGCAAAGACAGAGAAACAAGACGCAATTGTCTTCCCAATCCACGTCTGAGGAACTTTATCCCCATAACCGATCGTCGTCACAGTGACCTACACAAAAAGAAACTGGGCCCAGTCATACAGGTTGATATCCAATCATCCTATGCAATTCTCTCCAGCATATACTATCTAAAATTATTTCCAGATAATTTTTTTCTGCCAATTAAAAAAGTCTTTAAATAACTTTGTTATATTGTTTAAAGAAAGAAAAAATCACCTTAAATGTGCATACAGAAAATGTTTACCTGCCAAAAGAATTGTTAATGTGCATGTTTCACCAATATAGAATAAAATATAGTAAGTACATCTCTGAAATACAGTACTTGCATATTTCTTCATCTTTTCTTTCTTTAAAAACACAAATACAAGAAAATGCTTGTTCATCTGTCAGAAAGCCAGTGAGCTACTAACTTGTGTAATTTGACAACACAGCATCTCTGCTGCACTGAAATTCCAAGGAGAGTGGTCAGCCTGCCCAATTCTCTGCTGCTGAACTACAGAACACCTTCCCTTTTGAATGGAAATGAGTGGGGTTGGCTATGTAGTCCAAACACACTTACTGTCTTAGAAAGACAATGCTGTTCCTCCATGGACACAGTATATTGAGCACTACCCTAGGACAGAAAGTGTAATACTGGCAGGACACCAGAAAAAAATGAATGGAAAAAACCCAAGAAAAAGAAAATAAATTCACCGCTACAGCTAAGGACTGGTTAGCTTAAAGATATTACATTTTGTTCTTGGATTTAGATACAATTTACGGCCCATTTGGACTTGTGTGTTGTTGTAAAATGTGACAACATGTATTGCTTTTCTGTTCATTTTGAATGGCACCTCACTGCACTAGGGCAATGCACATGCTTTTCAATTTGCCACAATACAGGATAGTGCATTAAGCTGTATCCCAAAAGTAAAGTACATAAGATTTTTTCTAAAAATTTTGGGTGTGTTGGCAGCTGATTTTTTTCCAAAGAGCTGCCTAAGAGCACGCGAATAATTGTTTGAATACAGTACAGGAAGAACCTCACACTTAGCACATAGGTGAAAGATTTTAGTAAGTGCCATGGAACTGCCAGTGATCATAGCAAACAATTCTAATATATCCATAATACTCACCACTCCCCACCAGAGGGCATCAGCATAGCTGGAAAATCCAGTCCTCCCCTCTTCATCCACTGCATCCTTCTCAGCCAGGTAGACGAAGTAGGAGGAGAAGATAAGACCCAGGAAGCCAATATACAGAGTGGTGATGAGCTCCTGGGGTGGACACAGACAAAAAGGGGCCACGATGAGCCACATACAGATAAATGTGCCACATACTTGACCAGCACAACCCAAATCTTGGACAAAGATTTCCAATAATACCAAGACAACGGTTACATAGTGTAAAAATGTATTTATTTATTACATGTACTTATACAGCACCATCAATTTACACAGCGCTTTACATATATATTGTACATTGACATCAGTCCCTAACCCTCAAGGAGTGTAAAATCGAAGGCGCCTAACTCACATTCATACATACACATACTAGGGACAATTTAGACAGGATCCAATTAACCTACCAGCATGTCTTTGGAGTGTGGGAGGAAACCAGAGTACCTGGAGGAAGCCCATGCAGGCACAGGGAGAACATGAAAAATCCAGGCAGGTGATGCCATAGCTGGGATTCAAACCAACAACCCTAGTACTGCCAGGCAGAAGTGCTAACCATTTAGCTAACCATTTTGTTCTGTCCCCCTTTGTAATGTACAGCACTGAGCGAACTATTGGCGCTTTATAAATACAGTATAATAATAATATTAATTTAGCTACTGTGCTGCCTGTATTGCTTCACTATTTATTCTTGCTGCATTATTTCACGATAGATTGGGATAAACTGGCTGCTGTGAGAGCTACAGTTAAAGGATAAGTCACCTGCAACCTGGATTGCTTTAATAGGGTTTAAAACCCTATTGGCAGACCTGTTTGAAGACTATGGCCATTAGGTGATGTTTTCAGTAAGGTCAGGCATTGATATATTATCTCTGGAAGGCTACTGACCATTCCCCAACATGGAGTGAAAAGACACACCCAGGTTTCACATGGAGGTCAGGAGGTGTCACATGGGGATGGGGAAAGCATCCTCAGCCCTCTGTAGGCTCCTACAAGAGCAGTCTGGAGAAAACACAGGGCTACATCTCTTCACTCCCGAGGCTGCCCCTAATTTATAATATTTGTTACATTTTCTTGCATTAAGGTAAAAAAGGTTTAGGCAGCAGTATGCCCCCTCACCCCCTATTCTTTGCATTAAAGGAAGTAAAAAATGTTTAGGCAGCAGTATGCCCCCTCACCCCCTACTCTTTGCATTAAAGTAAGTAAAAAATGTTTAGATAGCAGTATGCCCCCTCACCCCTATTCTTTGCATTAAAGTAAGTAAAAATGTTTAGGTAGCAGTCTAGCCTATACTATCAACCCTGCACTGAGAAAAGAGAAAGTAAAGTAACAGGTTCAGTTGATAGAAAGCTTTGTTAGGAGTCTACAAGTTTCTGCACATCTCTGCCAAATCGATCTGCCACTACAGAACCTGCAAATTCCCATGTAATCCGCAACTTTGATGCGAGTATATGGTCCCTTACATCCGCGTGTGACATCAATCCAGCCTGGCAATTGGCCACTCATGCTCCAAGTTCTGCAGTGTCAGAGGCAGAGAGGGTTGTTACATTTCCCTATTCCTGGAAGTGCTAGGATATGAATATACTAAAACAGCCAATCAGGACCTCAGGTTCATGCAGCACAGTGCCCGCACCTGGCGATGGATGAAAACTACAGATCCTAGCAGCCTCCACGTTCCTCCCTGGCGGTCCACATGTAACATGCGAAGTATCTGAAGGAATCGAATCCCCCTGCAGAGCAAGAGTCACACATTGAGGATTAAGTGTCATGTACTGTAACAACCAGAAAAGTTCTTTTCTCACTGTTCAATAACTTATTCACTGTTCAATAATATCTGGCATGCTGGGGATTGTGGGAAGTAAATATAAAAGTAGATTTCAGGCATTGAATGACAATGTTCTTTCAGTTTTCTATACCATCTGGAAATATGCAACACTGTATTATTTCTTATGGTTGTCTGATAAAACTTTTCAATAAAAAATTATTAAAACAGAACAGTAGATTTCAAGTAATGATATTACCAGTGTCTTAAATTTTTTTTAGACCATTTTTTAGACCACTTTGTAGACCATTTAATGAATTTTTTTTTTTTTTTACAAAAGATCCTTCTGCTAGCATCTTCCAGCAAGATCCTGCGTAGATGGTTAGCAAATTCATTACCATTTTGTCCATGGCATGGGAAATTTTTATTTACTCAAAATAACTATTTAATTTAATTTAATACATGTGAAGTGTGAATTTTAATGGCAGGGCTGTTTGCTTGATGGCAAGTCTGAACTTCAGACCGCCATAAATACTGGACCCCAATAAACTCACCAACCTAATTGCAGACGTGGCGAACACCTGCCCGTTGGAGCCGACACTGAGCACGATAATGGAGGCTATGACCACAATGAGATCTGAGGATGAGAAGAGACAGGCAGCACTGGGTGAAAATTCTTGTATATTTTGTGATATTCTGACCACTAGCAGGCAATATTCAGGCAGAGATTGAATTATAGTAGCCTAATTTACAAAGCGAAACTTTATTTTGCAGCCCGGCTAGGCGCCTGGTGTACAAAAACTCCAAGGACTTGCAGTGGCAAATAGCTACTGACAATGTGTTCCTAAATTTGTCCTTGTGTTATAACACGCCCAGTAGCCTTGATAAAAGTCTTTTTAAAACTGAAATCCAGGCAAGTTGTGATCCAGGCACCCCTGTCAGACAGTGCAGAACTTCGGTGTCCATTTTTTTTTCTACAGCAATTAAAGGCTAAGCTCACCTTTAGTAACACATTACATGTTACACCTGTATTCAGGGTGTAACATGTCACTAATACAGCAGCCCCCCCAGATCCCCCACTGTGACAGTGGGGAGGATATTCTCTCCCCGCACCCACTTTCACAATGTAAAAACAGTGCGGCTATGTGGATTTCCACCCACTCAGCTGCGTCATTCATTCACAGATGTAGGTTTTCCATATAAAGAAATGAAGAGCCGTGCAAAGGAAAGAGGTTCCAATCCAAGAAGGGGACCACCACCATACACCCAAATAGATTGGCCTCTTACCAAAAGTGTTGACCGCCACACAGGTCGGTCAACATAAGCAGTATCATAAATCCAGCAGGTGCTGCAACCGGTTCTTGCATAGGAAACGCTCACAGGGTCATCCAGGATATTCCTCAAAAAAGAGGAATGGCAAACTTCCCATCAGGCCACCAAAGCACCACATGAAAAGAATTGCCCACTCATAGTGTAGTGAATTTAAAAAACGATTAATTGAATTGCACTTAAATAGCAAGCAAAATAAATCAGCATATCAAATGCCACTGTTAAGTTTCTAACCATCCAGATGGCCGCTGTCCCTCCAAAGCGCGATGACGTCACACAGCGTGGCTCCACCCTAGGTGGCCTGATGGGGAGTTTGCCATTTGAAGATCTTTTTGGAGGAATATCCTGGATGACCCTGTGAGCGTTTCCTATGCAAGAGCCGCTTGCAGCACCTGCTAGATTTATGATACTGCTTATGTTGACCAACCTGTGTGGTGGTCAACACTTTTGGTATGGTGGTGGTCCCCTTCTTGGATTGGAACCCCTTTCCTTTGCACGGCTCTTAATTTCTTTATACGGGAAACTTACATGGACTTTGTTCTAACATTTTTCCCCTATATTTTTCTGTATGGCTATATGTGCAAGCTGCTCTATTTGTATAGTAATTCTAAATGCAGTTCTGTGTTATACATTCATTCACAGATATCTATGAATAAATGAACTTGAAATGTCATCTACCACAGTAGCAGACAGCTTGTAGTTCTCAATGAGCACCCTTGTAGTTTAGATTCTTCCTGCTCTTCAGTAACTGTCTTCCTCTACGGGAGACTGACAGCCCTGACTGACTTTAAAGAGAGTTCCATAATTAAATACCAGCTATCAGCTTTCTGATGCCATTTCTGAGCCTTTTAATGGCTGGCAACACCTCACATCTGGATCATTTAACCAATGGGTGAATGCACCTATAACTCAGTAACATGACCCTTTAATGTTTTGAATTCAGTACATGCTGTGAAAGTTATTTTTGCAAGCGGAATTTCATATTTCTCCACTGTAAAGCTAGATGTTGCTTACACTCAGCAAGTAGCATTCTCTTTGAAAGTTAATCTTGCACGGTATAAACGTCTCTCATCAGTCAGTGCATGTTGTGAGAGCCGTATCTCCTCATGTCTATCACCGGGACGGAGACCCTATACGTATATCTTATGGCACTCTATTGTCTTCTATACTATGTCCATCATCATTGCCTATAGATTCCCTTGACAGGTTAAAGAAGACCTCCACTCTAATTAACAGGCTGTACACAACTGTAAGATGAGCAGCTACTGAAATAATCAAATACAGCCAATTACAAGGATGGTCTTCTCAAAACTCATATTTCAGTAATTGATGGATGATTATAGCTCCTTGCGTATGTTATGGATGTCATACACGTTATGCCAATTATGAGGGGCTCCCACCAACCCTTGCTGAGTCCCTCGGTCTACACCTACTGTGCCTATTATGGCGGTTCCCACAATCCCTACATTGAGACATCAATTCTTCACACCTGCTGTACCCTTTATGAGGGGTTCCCACCATCTCTGTGCTGAGTTCCTAGGTCTTCATACATGCTGTGCCCTTTGTGAGGGTTTCCCACTACCTTTGCACTGAGTTTCCAAATCTATACATCTGATGTACCTAATATGAGAGAGCCACCATCTCTGGGCTCAGTTCCCGGGTCTGTACACCTGCTTTGCCCATTATGAACGGTTCCCCTATCCCTACACTGGGTTCCAAGGTCTGCAAAGCTGGTGTACCCATTATGAGGGGCTCCCACCTTCCCTGGGTTTCTGGGTCTGTACAACTGTTTTGCCCTTTATTAGGGGTTCCCACTATCATTGCAAACATTTTTCTCCTGCGCTGGGAATAGACTCAGTGAAACCAATAGGAATGTTCTGGAATATGCACTGCTTGCTGCCCTCAACAGACCGGGGTGGTCCAAATTCACTAAATACAAATGGGAAAACAAAAAAGAGGGGGCACCGATGTTGTGCATTATCGTTTAAAAATATTTATAGAAAGAACAAAGTAAGTATCATACTTACAATGGACATAAAAACACAGGCATATCACACTTAACAAGATGTTTGATCCAATGATGGAACCCTGGATGACCAACTGGCTAACGCTTTTCGAGGACACAACCTCTTCCTCAGAGCTCTTAGCCAGTTGGTCATCCAGGGTTCCATCATATGGACTCAGATGCTGTTTGGATCAAACATCTTGTTCAGTGTGATATGCCTGTGTTTTTATGTCCATTGTGAGTATGATACTTTTATTTCAATTTAATTTAATATTTCAATAAATATTTTTAAATGATAATGCACTAGGTCGGTGCACCCTCTTTTTTGTTTTCCTACTATCATTGGGCTGAACTCCTGGGTCTGCTGTTGTCTAATATGAAGGGCTTCTCCTGCTAAGTAGAGCTAGAACTCCAGTCAGGAGAGTGGAATGAGCTTTATTGATTGCAAAGTAAAAGGTCTGACTATGAAGGGAATGTTGGATCTCTCCAGAGAAGCTACTGCATCCACACAGAGAGCAAGGGTCCTTCTCTGTAGCATGCTGGCGCGGATGCATTCTAAGGAAAACAAATGTAGGACTTTGCATACCTTCTGTTTTGATGCGCTTGGAATGTTTTAACTGATTTAAACTTAAAGTTAATTGGGCTTTAGAAAACACACCAAAACCAGCTTCAGTTCACCTTCTCCATTAACCCGAATGCATTTCACACCGAAATTACATTTTGTCAAAACTTTTGGGCAATGAAATCTATAAATTTAGCCTATCCTAATGCCACTTGGGCAAGGTGGAGACACTAACAGTACAAGTTTTATTTTTGCACATAATTTGTATTTTGCAATGTCAGTTGGCAATACATGCTTAGCAGCACCTTTCTTTGTTCTCTGTGATGGGTATTCAACAGTTCTGTCAAAAATGATGCGCAGAATGCAGATGCCTATAGCAACCTCTCAGAATTCAGATTTAAAGATGCAATTTCGATTGACTAAACCTCAGTGGATTCCTTTGTCTGATACATAACCCAGCAGCAAGTCCTACTAGAACCCCGGACACAGCACAAGATGCTCTCACCTATTATTGAGATGGGTTTTCTAGCAAAACGTATTCGCCCCCTGAAACCCACATATTTGCTGCGGCAGCCGGCTGACCACAGACGTACAAGATATTCGGCACCAAAAAACACGACCAGTACAATCTCCTGGAGGGGAAAACAGAGAAGAGGATATATGTGAGGGAAGGAAGAATGATTAATGACAAAGAAGGCTAAGTCAGCAACACATAACTGACACTTGTCACCAGAATTACTCCATAATTTCTCCATTGCGACTCTCCAAAAATACTCTGCATTGCTGGAGGACTCTGCTTGTTCCTTTATGTCTCCTTTCCTGAAATACTCTGCACCGCTGGAAGACTCTGCTCCTTTCTCTATCTAACTCTCCTCCCTTAAAATATTCTGCAGTATAGGAGGACCCTGCTCCTTCCTCTAATACTCCTCCCCTGAAATAGTCTGGACTACTGCAGGTCTCTGCTTTTTCCTTTATAAAACTGTTCTCTCCTGAAATACTCTGCACTGCTTGAGGACTCTGCTCCTTCTTCTATCTAACTTTACTCTCCTAAAATATTCTGCACTGCTAGAGGACTCTGCTCCTTCCCTGAAATACTCTACACTACTGCAGATCTCTGCTTATTCCTTTATAAAACTCTCCTCTCCTGAAATACTCTGCACTACTGCAGATCTCTGCTTATTCCTCTATAAAACTCTCCTCTCCTGAAATACTCTGCACTACTGCAGATCTCTGCTTATTCCTCTTTAAAACTCTCCTCTCCTGAAATACTCTGCACTACTGCAGATCTCTGCTTATTCCTCTATAAAACTCTCCTTCCCTGAAATAATCTGCACTACTGCAGATCTCTGCTTATTCCTTTATAAACCTCTCCTCTCCTGAAATACTCTGCACTACTGCAGATCTCTGCTTATTCCTCTATAAAACCCTCCTTCCTGAAATACTCTGCACTACTGCAGATCTCTGCTTATTCCTCTTTAAAACTCTCCTCTCCTGAAATACTCTGCACTACTGCAGATCTCTGCTTATTCCTCCTCTTTAAAACTCTCCTCTCCTGAAATACTCTGCACTACTGCAGATCTCTGCTTATTCCTCTATAAAACTCTCCTCTCCTGAAATACTCTGCACTACTGCAGATCTCTGCTTATTCCTCTCTAAAACTCTCCTCTCCTGAAATACTCTGCACTACTGCAGATCTCTGCTTATTCCTCTATAAAAACTCTCCTCTCCTGAAATACTCTGCACTACTGCAGATCTCTGCTTATTCCTCTATAAAACTCTCCTCTCCTGAAATACTCTGCACTACTGCAGATCTCTGCTTATTCCTCTATAAA